CTCATAGCAACCTCCAACTCCTGGGCTCAAGCGAGTCTCCTGCTTCCGCCTCCCAAGTAGCTGGGACCACAGGCGCCTGCCACAATGCCTGGATATTTTTTGGTTGTAGCCATCGTTATTTGGTGGGCCCGGGCTAGATTTGAACCCGCAACCTTAGGTGTATATGGCTGGCACCTTAGCCACTTGAGCCACAGGCACCAAGCCTCTTTTGTTTTTTTGAGACAGAGTCTCAAGCTGTTGCCCTGGGTAGTGTCCTGTTGTCACTACTCACAGCAACCTCAACTCCTGGGCTTAAGCCATCCTCTTACCTCAGCCTCCCAAGTAGCTGGGACTACAGGTGCCACAATGCCCGGCTATTAGTTATAGTTGTCGTTGTCATTTGGCAGGCCTGGGCTGGATTCGAACCTCCAGCCTTGTTCTATAAGGCTGGCACCTTAGCCGCTTGAGCTATAGGCACTGAGCCCTTTTTCTTTTTTTTTTTATGAGACAAGAGTCTCATTATGCTGCTCCCAGTAGAGTGCCATGGCATCACAGATTACAGCAACCTCAAACTTTTGGGCTTAAGTAATTCTCTTGCCTCAGCTTCCCATGTCACTGAGACTACAGGCTCTTGCCACAATGGCCAACTATTATTTGGTTGTAGTTGTAATTGCTGTTTGGTAGGTCCAGGCTGGGTTTGAACCCGCCAGCTCCAGTGTATATGGGTGGCGCCCTAGCCACTGAGCAACAGGCATTGAGTCTACTTTTTCTTGAGACAGGGCCTCACTTGCTGACTAGGCTTAAGGGCAGTGGCATCATAATAGCTCACAGCAACCTCAAACTCTTGGGTTCAAGTGATTCTCTTGCTTCAGCCTCCTAAGTAGCTGGGACTAAACTGGCACCCACCACAATACCTAGCTATTTCTTTTTTTGTTGCAGTTTGGCCAGGGCTGGGTTTGAACCCGCCACCCTTGGTATATGGGGCTGGCACCCTACCCACTGAGCCACAGGTGCCACCCTATTATTTTTTGAGACAAGGTCTTACTGTTGTTGCCCTGGCCACAGTACAGTGCTGTCATCATAGTTCTGTATAACCTTAAACTCCTGGGCTCAAGCAATTCTCCTGCCAGAGGCTCCTGAGAAGCAGGGACTATATACTCATACCACCACAGTGGCCAATTTAAAATAATTATTTTTGTAGAGATAAGGTATTGCTATGTTGCTTAGGATCATCTTGAACTCCAGGCCTCAAATAATCCTCCTGCCTCAGCCTTCCAAAGGGCTAGGGTTATAGGCATGAGCCACTGACATGCCTATTCGGACAACTATGATACTCTAGAAAAGACGTAAGATAGTGCTTTAAACACTATTGGGAAATAGCAAGTTGATGGGAGGCAGATAAAGTACTAAAAAAAGATGTGGGCAACGAAAAAAAGTTCCCCCAAATTTTACTTTAAAAGATGGCTTAGTACTTGGAGTGCATCCACTTTATAAAATGAATACGCATTTAAAAAAAAATGAGGATGGTGCAGTGGGTTATACATGTAATCTGAGCACTCTGGGAGGTTGAGGCAGGTGGCTTGCTTGAGCTCAGGAGTTCAAGACCAGCCTGACCAAGAGTGAGACCCTGTATCTACTCCTCTGGTCCCACTTACTTAGGAGGCTGAAGCAAGAGAATCATTTTATCCTAAGTGTTTGAGGTTGATATTGCTGTGACCCCATGGCACTCTACCCAGGATACAGAGTTAAGGCTCTGTTTCTTTTTTTCTTTTTGAGACAGAGTCTCACTATGTCACCCTTAGTAAAGTGCTATGGTGTCACAGGTCACAGCAACCTCAAACTCCTGGGCTTAAGCCAGTGGATCTCAACCTGTGGGTCATGACCCACATGAACTATATATTTTTTTTTTAATTGAATGGTAACTATGTACATTAATGCACTTCTGGGGTACAGTGTGGGGTTTTCACATGCAATCTGAAATACTTCCATCAAACTGGTCAACACAGCCTTCATG